GAAAAAGTAGAGACGAAGGTTACACTTCGCCCAGTGATAGAAAGGAGGGGAATAGCAGCTCTCTGCGTGTAGGTAGACAGGCAGGAGAGCGCACAGCTGGGTCCCCAACATCACTCACTCTGACAAGACATTCCGTACGAAATGTGTCAGGGGAAAAGGGGGACGTCCCTCTCATAAGAGGGAAATACAGGCCACTCTCCGTGTGCCGAGGCAGGAGAGAGGCGCACAGCTGGGTCCCTGACGTCACTCACTCTGACAGGACACTCAGTACAGGGTGTGTCGGAGAGGAAAGGGAGACATCCCTCAAATAAAATTGAATAAATGAACAGGGAGAAGACCAAGACGCAGCACTGCAAATGTCTTCCACTGACATTCCTCCGTGCAAAGCCGTGGAAGAGGAAAAATTCCTCTGGTGGAGTGCGCACTGATGTTCTCCGGGGGATCCACCCCAGAGGAGACATATGCCTGTGACACAGCCTCACACAGCCAGTGTGACAGCTGTTGTGCAGATAGAGACTGCCCTATCGAGCGCTCTCTATAATGCACAAACAGGCGCTGAGAACGGCGCAAGGCAGCCGTGCGCGCCACATAGCAGGACAGCTGAGATGAGACGTGGCTTCTTGGGGGAAAGAAGCCAGCCAGGGTGATCACTCTTGACCTAAAAGAGTTGTGATGACCTTAGCCTTAGGCATGAAGCCGGGTTAGGGCGTAAACCAGCTGAACTGCCATCTCCTTGGATCCGGAGACATGACGGAGCCACAGAGAGAGCGGACAAATCACTCACCCTTTTCGCTGATATTATAGCCAAAAGTAATAGCCTACTTTGGCTGATAACAGTTTAAGGGGAACCTGATCTAAAGGTTCAAAAGGGCTTTGCTTAGTGCGCGTAACACCAAAGCCAAATCCCACTGAGGCGCCAGTGCGCGTGACCCGCCAGTGTGCGTGTACTCCTCCCTGGCGATTGAGGTAGGCTGCCGTGGCCTGTTGGCTGGGCGAATCAACACATGTTTGATTGTACAGCAACGGGGCGAAGTGCTGGAATACTTCCCAAACCGGAGAACAGCTCCAGCACATTTACCTCTGACGCACGGGGTCGGTGCGTGGGCGAATGAACCACCTCTGGAGACCCCTCCTGTGGGGGAGACCCCGGGGAATCCCCACGTGATCAGCTGACGTCATGCTGAGCAGCTGTATCACGGAGAGGGCTGGCACCACGCTGTGGGATGTGGCACGCCGGAGAGGGAGCTGTCAGTTTCTCCACTCTGCTGGCTGAGTTTTATTCCACTCGCAGATAAATGAATGTCTGGGGGGGAAGAGGACAGCTCTTCTTCAAATTCATTATGAAAACCAAGCTTTGACAGATGCGATACGAGATGTAACGTCTGTAAAGCGACTTCCTCCCTGGAGCGAGCCAGCAATAGCAGGTCGTCCAGATAAAACCACACTCTCATCCCTCCTCTGTGTAGTGGCTCCAGCCTTCTACACACTTTGAAAAAATGCGAGGAGCCAGGGAACATCCGAACGGCAGACGATTGTCTGGTCTGATATTTCCCTGAAAAGAGAAACGCAGGAATTTCCTGAGTTTCGGGATGATGATAGGCTACATGGAAGTATATGTGCTTCCGGTTTATGGAAGTGAACCAGTCGTCCTGGTGAACACATTCCAGCACCTGTTTGATCGTCAGCATGGGAATACTGACAGATCAAGGATGGGTCTCACTCCCCCGTTCTTTTCCGGGATTTTTGAAAATAACGGGAGTAAACACCCCTGATTTTCCTCCCTTTGAAAAAAGGCCTTTTTCAACAGGAGTTCCTGCAGCGCTGAATGGAGCGTAAGACACTGTTCCTGGGATGACAGGAGTGTTTCTTGTATCCCATGGAACTGCGGGGTGGAGAGGCTTCTCTGTGATATGCTGTAATGGTCGTCATGACCGTGCTCTGTAGGAGGCATATCTGGGACAGAGAAATGCCGCGAGCTCTGCAGTTTATAAACCAATAGGTTAAAACAGCAGGCTTCTGCAGCGAATGAACCACCTCTGGAGACTCCCCCTGTGGGGGAGACCCATGGGGATCACCACGTGACCAGCTGACGCCAATACCGAGCAGCTGCGTCACAGAGAGGGCTGTGCGGGTTGTGACACGCCGGAGGAGAGCTGTCAGTTTCTCCACTCGCTGCCGTGAAAGCCGCGCTCTCATGCTGGCGGAGTTTAATTCCACTCCCAGATAATAATTGTCTGAGAGGGAAGAGGACAGCTCTCCTTCCAATTCATTATGAAACCCAGGCTTTGACAGATGCGATACGAGATGTAACGTCTGTAAAGCAACTTCCTCCCTGGAGCGAGCCAGCAAATAGCAGGTCGTCCAGAGAAAACCACATTCTCATCCCTCCTCTGTGTAGTGGCTCCAGCCTTCTCTACACAAACATGCGAGGAGCCAGGAAATATCCGAACGGCAGACGATTGTCTGGTCTGATATTCCCTGAAATGAGAAACGCAGGAATTTCCTGTGTTTCGGGATGATGGGTATGGAAGTATGCATCCTCCTTCAGGTGGAAGTGAACCAGTCGTCCTGGTGAACACATTCCAGCACCTGTTTGATCGTCAGCATGTGACTGTGACTGTGGGGGGGGGGTGGGAGAGGAGGAGAGGAGGAGGAGGAGAGGCAAACTGCAGGGTGTACCTCTGCTGATCAGCCTGCTCATCCATCTGTCCATCACACACACACTCTGAGAGACACTCTGAGAGACACTCTGAGAGCGGGCGCACATGCTCGAGATGTGTCGTGGTTGTCATGGCGAGAAGTATCTCGGACAGAGGAATGCCGCGAGCTCTGCGGTTTATTAACCGATAGGTTAAAACCAGCAGGCTTCTGCAGCGAGCCCCTGATTTTCTTCCCCTTGAGGAACCCTGGAAATAGCCTCTTTCAACAGGAGTTCCTGCAGCTCTGACTAGAGCGTAAGACACTGTTCCTGGGATGACGGGAGTGTTTCCTGTATCCCATTGAACTGTGGGGGGGAGAGGCGAACTGCAGGGTGCACCCTCTGCTGATCAGCCAGCCTGCTCGTCCATCTGTCCATCAGACACACGCGCTGCCACTCTGAGAACACTGAGAGCGGGCGCACATGCTCAAGATGTGTTGTGGTCGTCATGGCGACGAGCCACGCCAGAGCCCTCGCCGCCGCTGCCCGTGAGGCAACCCAAGGTGGGCCTGGAGCGAAAGGGCTGTGAGGGAGCCTCCACACGCTGCGTTTCACTCCGGCTCTCATCATGAGGCGTACACGCTCAGGGGATGAGTGGAGGTGTGCAGTGCTGTTCACATGAGGCGTTACAACGGCGCTCATGGGTTTATTATGACCGTGTGTAGGAGGCGTATCTCGGACAGAGGAATGCCGCGAGCTCTGCAGTTTATTAACCGATAGGTTAAAACCGACAGGCTCCTGCAGCGAGCCCTGCTGTCTACTAATCAACAGATTAGTGGCAGCCGGCGTAATTAGCGAACTCTGCTTTTGTAACGAGCCCTGCTGGCTACTAACCGATAGGTTATAGGCAGCTGGCTTACACAGAGTGGTGGACATGTGAGAAACACTTGTTACTGATGACTCAGTACAAAATGTTGGAAAATGAACACACTTTACTTTACTCAGCACCCCCCAGAACGTCAGAACCGGCTCTGCTTCCTCGGAGGCTCTCGTGGAGCAGACCAGGAGCGGGGGAGCCTCACTCCCCTTTGACTCGCCGCCGGGAGACCCTGTCTATGGGGTGGCGGAGGAGCGGAGACGTGGGACGGAGCCCCCGCAACCGCCGAAGGGCGAGCCTGACGCCGAGGCGGTTGCCTGAAAGGCACACTGGTGCACCCGGTCGGCCTGGCGGGCGACATACTGGTCTCTGGGGGCGCTCAACGTAGGGCGCCGTCCGGCGATTATGTTGGCCTGTCTTACCCCAAAAAAAAACGGCAGAACCGAACGGTGAACCGTGGAGGGAGGCGGGGCAGGAGTCGTCCGACTCCTGCCCGGCACTCGGCCCCAGGGACACTCGGCCCCCGTCCGCGGGCTCGTAAGCCCGGATGGGCCAATTGTCCTCCTCGGCCGCAGCAGCGAGAGCGTCCGCTCTCCGCTTCCTGTCGCCCGAGGGGAGACAGGCACAGCGGGTGCATGCACCCACTGTGCCCGTCTCCCCCCGGCCGAGCATGTGAATCCAGGCAGGACTCACACACTGTGTGCTAGTCATAACTCATTATGAACCCAGAGCCACATGAGGGACAATCTCTCACACAATTGTCACCCATGTTTACTCAGCAATTTGAAGTGTCTCTTGTGCTTCAGTAACGGGGTGCTGAAGAAAAGAGGGAGCAGATTGTCGGGCCTCCTTCCTATTTATACCGGAAGGGAGCCCGAGGGTGGGGCCCACCTTGCGGGCGGGCGTGGACTACAAGTGTTTCAGTGCTGCACGGGTGCGCAGGGGGATTACCCAATAGCGATAGCCTTAGAGGGCGAAGCCATATACGAAATAGAACCTTGTGGCTGCTGACTGTGTTCAGGTGGACAGCAACTGAGGCTGTGAATCATGTGTCAGTGATGAATAAATGCCCACACCGGGTTGTATTTGGACGTTCTGCCTCTGCCTCCTTACTTGGTCGGGCCGCTCAATGGTCAGCTTCACAGTGGGAAATGGGCATATGAGCTCTACTAACAGGATTAGAATTCTGTGGATGTTTGTTATGTAGTCAAATTTAGGATGTTTGTTTTTATATTTAGAGAAATATTTTGTTGGGATTGGTTAGAGTTTTGTGCATTCCGTCTGAAAGTGCAACTCTGTTTCTACTTTGTGCTCTTTGCACATCTGGTAGAAGTGCTCCCTCTTTTGGGAACTATGATCTTTTGTAGCGGGCAGTCTCCTCTCTTTCTCTTCTCCCGGATTGACATGCTGCATGCATTGTGATTGACAGCTGGTCTCTAACTGCCTATCCCTGTGCACAGTGATGATGTTCTGTTTTTTTTGCAGAGATACTGCAGTCTGACAGACCCAACCTGAGGAGGACACAGAGTGAGGAGTCCCCGGGTACACCTGGATCTCACAACAGGTCAGTACACACACACACACACACACACACACACACACACACACACACACACACACACACACACACACACACACACACACACACACACACACACACACACACACACACACACTAGGGCTGTACCCGAATATTCGTTCGTTTGAGTACTATTCTGGTTTCAATTACATTATTCGGATATTCGTTTTGTTTGTTTTTTCGTTTTTATTCCCGTTTTTTTTTTTAAATTGAATTTATTGAAATCTCCAATATCAATGTAAGAGCTTGTGCCTCTTCGGGGGTGCTAACACGTATAACGTTATAACACCATAAACGTTATTGTTTACTTTCTCCGTCTTTATATGTAGATATTACTTTTCTCCGTTAATCTCCGTCACGTTGTTTCCAAAGCAACAACAACTTCCTGTCAACTGCGCTAACTCTCCTTCAAAATAAAAGCATGTCCATAAATAGGAAGCCCAGCCAAATTACACTTAAGACATATACAACTGCAACGAAAGTAACAAACACAATGCTTCCTTTTCAACACAAATTGGGTTACATTAACAAATAACTATAAAACAACAATACTGTAGAATAACAAAATGAATGCCGTGAATACACCGAAATACACGTGTTGAAGCGGTTCGCTGCTGATTACTAAAATAAAACATTTGTTTTATTTTATCTTTTTGTTACACACTATTAGCTTTAACTTCTTATGTCTATATAAATATTTCTATTCTGTTTCATTATTTTTTATTCTGAAAAGGTGCATCTGACACAAACCCAAATGTTCATATTTCTTTGTCATCTCTCTCTTATGCCTCATCCCACTTCCCAACTTCCCCCATCCCTCATTTTGCCTTTTTCCATCTTCTTCTTTTCTTTCTCTTTTGCAGGAGTAACAGGCACTCAGTGGGAGGAACACAGGGCAGCTCCCCAGGGGGCCCCAGGGGGGGCTCTCTGACCAACGGGGAGCTGAGTGAGGAGCAGACCCCTTGCCCGGGCTCAGCGGCTCACCGTCGCTCCTCCAAAAGTCACGGGAGCCCAGGAAGCAGCGCAGGTACAGTTACACTCTAGATGTTTACAGTGCACACTCTAACTTCAGGTTGACTCAGACTGGAAGCGCTGATTTTAATTGTGGAATGTGGAAAGATGCTGCTGATAAATATTTATGAAGATATCCTGTACCTTTTAAGAGTTGAAACAATTATATTATCTTTCTCTCTTTTGCTCTAACACTTTCTTTTTTGAACATACAATACACTAAACACCACATCAACACAATCAAATTGCTGCAGTTGGTTGTGATTTCTGTAGTTGTCTTGTATAAGGGTATACATTTTTAATAAGAATAATAAGGAAACACTTAACTGTTAACTGTTTGGGTTGTGAACTGGATCCAAACCAGAGCCAATGGGTTTTGACCATGACGTATGAAGAGAACTGGATACAGCGTTGGAGGTGGGGCCCATTCATTCCCGTCAGTGGCTCATGAAGCCAAGATGGCCTGAGAAGAAAAGCTCCCGTATCTGGGCCCAACGAGTGTGCTCATGTTGCTTAAGCCCCGCCTCCAATCCGCATTGTTGCGGCCTGTCTCAGCACAGTCAGATGAATGGAGAGGGCAAATAACTGCACATTCGGCTTTTAGCGCATTTTACAACTTTTAACCCATAATGATTTAAATAAAGGCTATTCAAGTGTTCGTGCTGGGTAGTTGATTTAGCTAAATAAAAGTATCTCTTTCCTAATTTAAATTTAAAGAGTCATGGTTGTGTGAATCAACCCCATGAAAATATTCCTAGCTAGAGGTTTGGTTGTTTAAAGATCTGCTAACACTGAGCAGGCTTCTGCCTTGGCCTCTATAACAATATATCTGTTAAAGCTCACTACAATGTAGCATTTTTTTAGCAGCCAACTTTGATGAGCTTCTCAGTAGCACATGAATACAGTATTACACTACTACTATGACTAAAGAAAACAATCTACACTCTTCCTCCTGATTTGGTTTGAGCATTCTCTATAACCAGGTAACATTAACTCTTTCCTCCCCTCTCAGACAAAGTGGAGTTGACGTCTAACGGGCTGGAGAGCAGTCGTGGGGGCGTGGCCCATCACACCCCTCCTCCCCCCTCTCCGTCGGGCCGATCTCCGGCTGCCAGCAGCAGCAGCAGCAGCCCCTCTCCGGGTCAGGACGCTCTGGGACCGGCCCCGCCCGCAGAGCCCGGCCCTAACCCCCCCCCCAACACAGAGCAGGCCAGCAACAGCAGCACAGAGCCCTCCACAGAGACACTGCCCACAGGGTAAGATCATTTGGGGACAAAGACAAAGTAACAGCTAGCTTCTTAATGAACCTCGAGCAGGCCCTTTAGCACAGTCATTGTGACATTTATAAATACGCATAAGATGAATCAAAACGTCATGGAAAAACTTTCAGCCTCCAGAGGGATTTTCTCTCCCACATGCACTCATAAGATATCTTACGGAATAGATGCCGTAAAATGTGAATTGTGTCTCTCTCACCCTCACTCTCTCTCCCTCCCTCTCTCTCTCTCTCCCTCCCTCTCTCTCTCTTCAGCTGGGAGCAGAGGGTGTTGCCTCATGGCAGAGTGTACTACGTCGACCACAACACCAAAACCACAACCTGGGAGAGACCACTGCCACCAGGGTACGCCTGTTACATTTTTACATGTGTTTTTTTATCGATACATTGATTTGTTTTTCCACACATTACAGTAAGCCCATGTTAGGCTGACCAATAAGCTTGGCTTAACATCAGATATTTTTCAGCCTGTCATCTCTCCAACCTGATAATTATTTTCCAGCACAAAACTTGGATTTCTCAATATCATGCCACAAATAAGGAAATTAGATAGATTGCCTTCAATTTGTAAAAATGCCATAAGCCCTTTAAGAAGAGCTTGTTATTAACTGCTTGGATAAATTGAGGGATTCATATTTGTTACAGTTACTTCAGCAACATAAATACTGTGGTCTGAATGTTAAAAGCCTTATTTTTTATTAGCTTTGGGAGTATTTTTGTATGTTTATAAAACACAAATAATGTATTTGTTAGATAAGGAAAGAATCAGATTTCAGCGATTCCATTGAAATGTATTGAATTATCCTCCAAATTGAGCAGATCGAATGCAGAGAATAAAGAGTCTTCTTGTTTCTTGTTTATTTTAAAAAGGGATATGTTCTCGGTTATACAGTAACTAAACACATTGTAATTGGTCATGAATCACCCAGTGTGACCACAGTAATTGTGTGCGAAGGCATCATAAGGAGAACACAGTTTTCTGCCTCTCTGTAGAGAGCAGTCGAGGAACACAGGCCGTCTCTTTTATGACATCTAAACATTATTTATTGATGTTCACTGAGTGTGTGTGAGACTGGGTGACAGAGAAAAAAGAGAGGCTGCTTTTAGAAAAAGGTGTCCCCACCCCATTCGCCAAACTTCACCTCCCATCTCAGTTTTTCCACACAAGGAACGAGAGGGGGCCCGGAGAACAAAAGTCCTTTCTTAGAGCCACATGGACCTCCATCCACCACGCTGCTGGCTGCTGGCCGCGTGGCCCTTCAGAGGGTCAATTAGCAAGCTAATGCCGGGCTCTAGATGCACACACCAGGAACTGTTTAGAGGCTGGGGGGGGCCGGGGGCAGGGTGGGGGTTGTTAGGCAATCGAGGTTTGGGAGCTGAAATAATGAAAGCCAGACTGAGGAGAGCTCCTGAGTCTATATATCAAACGTGATACAGCACCAGAGACGGAAGAAGTACTCGGATCCTTTACTTAAGAAGAAGTACAAATACTATGGTCTTAAAATACTCCATTACAAGTAAAAATCCTTAATACAAAATGTTACTTTAGTAGAATAATAACTTATATATACTAACAGTATCAAAAGGAAAATTAGTAAATATGCACAGTGGCTTTTTTCCTTTAATATAATATTAGATTGTACAGATTTTCCCCTCCCTACATATGTCAGAGCATTTTTATGTTTGCAATGTGGAGCCAACTTTTAGATACTAAAAAGTACTGGGTTGTGTTTGTGTGTGTTGGTAGTGCAGTACAGCATCAAATCACATAAGAAAAGCCTTTGTTTTTGGTAAAAGGAAACTAGTAGCTATGAGTGTTAAATAAATGTACTGGAGTTTAAGTATATAGTAGCATAATATTTATTTTAGCAAATGCCAGTTTTTAAATCAGTGCTATATTCCAGACTGGCACATCTGCAAAAGCAAACTGTCAATCATCCGAACAAAGAGTAAAACACACTGCAAACATGGCTCCTTCACTGCAGTACACTATAATGTACTTTCATTTTGACACAGATAACCGACAGCGAACGTGAAGAAATGGGCAGTATTGTGTCTGAAACCACAGAACAGAAACATTTAATAACAGAAATAAGAACAGGAAACTGAGGCTACAATCCGCATAGGCTCACCAAAACTTGATTGAAAAAACGTTGCCTGGTCTGATGAGTCTCGATTTCTGCAGTGACATTCGGAGGGTAGGGTCAGAATTTGTCGTAAACAACATGAAAGCATGGAAATATATAATATCATATATATAATATCTTATAATAAATCACTGGATTTTGATTATTGATGCTTGAATTTGTTCTTACAGCTGTAAAGGAGGAGCTTATTTTAAGTAATTTGCTTTACCTGCTGCTGCATATCTTGACCTTTAATACATACAGTATGTCATGTTTTACATTAACATTTCAATCTGTAAAATAATTTGCTAATAAAGTTGTCAAATAATAAAAAGTGCAATTTGCCTTTCAAACTGTAGAGAAGTAGAAATATAAAGTAGCATAAATAAAAAATGCTCAGATAAAGTACCTCAAAATAGTACTTAAGTAGAGTACTTGAGTTAATGTACTGTATTACATTCCACCACTGGTTCCCAGATATGCATGGAGTAGATAGTCAATGAAAAGACTTGTACGAAGAGTTAAAGTGAGATAGCAGAACTAAGTAGAGACTCTGAGACATGTTGGGCTCTGGGTTTTTCCTTGGCTCCAGTAAATAACTAGCTAATGCTAATATCAAAGAGCGAACAGTGTTTACTTGCCTTTTTAAGAGGAAGCTCAGAGGCATAGTGGTCAGAGAGACCAAATAACTCTCTGTTTGCAATCATCCCCTCTGCTGAGGTGTCCTTGAGCCAGATACTGCAACCTACGAGCTCTCTGGGTGCTGTCATGTAGCTGAGACTTCTGACCACAAAAGAAAATGGATGTTCCCTTTAGGAGACATTTATGCAAATCAGCTCATCTAGTGAACTGTTGTTTCTGAGTTTTATCTTCAGGCTGATAATGTGCACCATGTGGACTCAGCGGCAACATTGGTAAATACATTCAGAGTTTTAGACCCTAGAAATACCATTGGCACTTAACAAACATACTTACATTATTTTGACTGCTCCAAACACTCACTTGAGCAGAAAATGCAGATTAACCCGCTGGAGGAAATAGTGCCAACAAATGGTCAACTCCTAACATTGAGTAACTTTTTCTAAAAACTAAAGGGCTCTGTTGGGACCTTAATAATTATTTAAAATAATTAAAGTTTATATTTGTGACTTTTTTTTCTTTCTATAGTAACAAAAAAGATTCATTGTGTCTTTTTGAAGACTGTCATATTGTTGTTAGCATGGTCAGGTCCAGCCATGCCATTAGCACATCATCTCATACAGCAAACACAACATGAGTGATTATAAACACAGAATTGTCCATTCTTATTATCCTTCTTGTTGTATGCTAATGTTAATGCACAATATAGTTGCTAGGTTCAAACCCCACTGCAGTCAGCATGTCGTTGTGTCCCTGGGCAAGACACTTCACCCCAAATTGCTCCTGCAGGGATTGTCCACAGTATTGAGTATGTAAGTCGCTTTGGATAAAAGCGACTAACATGTAATGTGTTGCCATAAATTAGTCTCTCTGCGTTTCTGCGCTGGGCTAATGCTAATAATGCTAATGCGAGGATAATAAAATGGCGGCTTCACAAAACTTTTTGGGAGTTTTACGGGGCGTGGTTTGCATTCCGCCCAGCCAATCAGACATAGGAACCTTTTACTCCCACAAAAGTACCTGCTCTCTAGCAGGGACGGAAAAGGGGGTAAAAAGGTTCTCATGAACTAATTTTAGTTCCGGCTCTTTTTGGTGTGAACGCGACATTTCGGAACTATATCCGAACTAAAGTGGGAAAAGTACTGCGGTGTGAACGTGCCTATAGAGATCTTAGTAATGCCACTGGCAGGCACTGCCATGCCATTAGCACATCATCTCATACAGCAAACACAACATGAGTGATTATAAACACAGAATTGTCCATTCTTATTATCCTTCTTGTTGTATACTAATGTTAATGCACAATATAGTTGCTAACCCCTGAGACAAATAGTTACCAGTTTGAGTTACCAGTGGACATGAATGGTACACTAATGAGGTTTGGCCCTTCCAACTGCAACGTCCCTGGTTGGAATCACACGTCATTTTCATCTGAAGACAAACACATGCCAAGGGCCACACGCTCGACCTGGTCATCACAAACTCCGCCCCCATCAGCAATCTGCTAGTGTATGACCTGGGGGTGTCTGACCACAAGACCATCTCAATGGAGCTGTCTTTCCAGTCCCCACTCAGCAAACCCAAGCGCAAAATCCGCTTCAGGAACCTGAGGAACATCAACCCGGACACCATGACCTTGGACCTCCAGCATCTTTCTTCCGCCAACTTCTTATCAGTAAATGAGTCAGTGGAATATTGCAACCAGTCCCTCAACAGTCTCCTTGATCTGCACGCCCCCCTCAAAACCAGGATGGTCACGTTCGCGCGCTCAGCCCCTTGGTACACTGGCGAGCTGCGGAGAATGAAGACAGCTGGGCGTGTCCTTGAGCGGCGGCTCAAGGCCTCAGGACTCACTGCCTACGCACAGTCCCTCAGAGATGCACGGTCCCAGTACTACTCCTCCATCATCAACAACAGTACTGGAAACTCCAAGCAACTCTTCTCCACCATCAACCACCTCCTCAAACCCCAAAGTCCACTACACTCCGACTCCACTGAGAAGCAGTGTAGCAACTTCGCTGCCTTCTTCAAAAACAAAGTTGACACCATCCGCTCCCTCCTCTCTAGCCCCTCTGCACCTCCCGTTCCAACTGCCGACCCACAGCCTGGGACAACACAGCCTCTCCGCTGTTTCACGGACATCTCTCAGCGAGAGGTTGAGGGCATCGTTAGGAGGATGAAGCCTTCCACCTGTGTCCTGGACCCCCTTCCGTCAGCTCTGGTGAAATCCTACATCAGTACCATGAGCCCCATGATCACTAAGATCGTAAACCTCTCTCTCCAGGCTGGCCATGTCCCCTCTGCCCTCAAAACCGCTGTCATCAAACCTCGTCTCAAAAAACCCTCCCTTGACCCGGGAGTCCTGGCCAACTACAGACCCATTTCCAACCTCCCATTTCTATCAAAGGTGCTGGAAAGAACCATCTAAACTCAAACAACATATTCGAGAAGTTCCAGTCTGGTTTCCGCTCAGGCCACAGCACAGAAACTTCCCTGGTCAGGGTCACCAACGACCTGCTGATGACGGCTGATGCTGGCTCTCCCTCTCTCCTCATCCTCCTCGATCTCACTGCAGCTTTCGACACAGTCGATCACGGCATCCTCCTCCACCATCGGACTCTCTGACTCTCCCCTTGACTGGTTCAGATCTTACCTCATCGGGAGAACAGAGTACGTCTCGTTGGGTGAGGCAGAGTCGGGTACCCATGATGTCACCTGTGGTGTCCCTCAAGGATCAGTTCTCGGCCCCACCCTATTCACACTCTAGATGGCTTGTATCATCAGCCGACATGGAGTATCATTCCATTGTTACGCTGATGACACCTCAGGATCAACCCTACCTCCTCTGCAGCCCTGCCTTCACCCACACTTACTGCCTGCCTGGAGGAGATACAGGCGTGGATGAAGCAAAAACTTCCTGAAACTGAACAGCTCCAAGACCGAAGCCATTATAGTTGGCACCTCACACCAGGTTCGGTCATCCACCATCACCACCATCACCTTCTCCGGCCAGGACATTACCCTCTCCTCAACAGTCACCACCATGGGTGTGAAAATTGACGCCCATCTGACCTTTGAGGCTCACATTAAACAGCTGTGCAAGAACTCCTTCTATCACCTCAGGAACATCGCCAAACTCCGCCCCACACTCACTCTAAAGGCTTCTAAATTCTCTAATTTCCCCTCCTCGACTCCTATCCTCGTGACTTAGTCCCGCCCACAGGAGATGCGAGCGGAGGAGTCGAGGAGGGGAACCGAGGAGAGAGGAGTGGAAGCAGCAGGCGGTTAGAGAAATGAGAACTCCTCTCCTCTGAGCGGTCATTTTAAAGAGACATCCGTTAATGATGACAGGAGGCACAGCAGCCCTCTGTCTGATGGACAGATGTGTTCATGATGACTTATATATTTACTTTTAATTCATTCACAGTGCGGTATAATGAGACAATAACAGGCTACAGATGCGGACATTTATATAAATATATTAGGGCTGTTTAATCGCGATTAATCGCATGATTGTCCATAGTTAATCGCGATTAATCGCAAATTAATTATCTGTTCTAAATGTACCTTAGAGGATATTTTTACAAGTTTTTAATACTCTTATCAACATATGAGTGGACAAATATGCTTTATATGTTGTTTATTATCATTTGAACAATGACAAATATTCTCATGAATATTAAACACAACAACCTGAACATTACAAATATTCACCTCAATTCAACCTGGAACCTCTCTCATACAGTGTGTGTGTGTGTGTGTGTGTGTGTGTGTGTGTGTGTGTGTGTGTGTGTGTGTGTGTGTGTGTGTGTGTGTGTGTGTGTGTGTGTGTGTGTGTGTGTGTGTGTGTGTGTGTGTGTGTGTGTGTGTGTGTGTGTGTGTGTGTGTGTGTGTGTGTGTGTGTGTGTGTGTGTGTGTGTGTGTGTGTGTGTGTGTGTGTGTGTGTGTGTGTGTGTGTGTGTGTGTGTGTGTGTGTGTGTGTGTGGTGTGTGTGTGTGTGTGTGTGTGTGTGTGTGTGTGTGTTGTGTGTGTGTGTGTGTGTGTGTGTGTGTGTGTGTGTGTGTGTGTGTGTGTGTGTGTGTGTGTGTGTGTGTGGATCGTTGGAGCTATGTGCAGCTCAAGGCATATATGCTCGAACGGGAGCTGCCTGGATGCTGCAATCATGTTGCGCGCACTATCCGTGCTGACTTTTCGTACAATGTCCCACTGTCTGGCTACCTGCATAAAGTCAAGTGCTCGGCGCAGTTGTCGGCGAAATGTCGCTCCTCTGTTTTCATTGAAACAGCTCCTTATATCCGTTAGCGCAGCTAGCACCAGATGCTAACAACAACAGGACCAAGCTCCGTACTATGGGAGACCGGGCTTTCTGCTCGGCTGTGGAATGCTCTCCCCGAGCACATGAGAGCACCACAGACCGTGGAGGCTTTTACAAAATATTCAATAGAGCCTTTTCCTAGACCTTTTATCTTATTTATTACTACCCTTTTATTTTGTTATTGTTTGTTTGTACTGCTTTTTATTCATTCTACCGTGTTGTGTACTGTTTTTATTTTGTTCCATGCTAAATGCTTGTAGCATACTTCGGAATCTTGAACTCAGATATGAAGTGCGTTATAAATTAACCCATTATTATTATTATTATTATTATTATTACTGACACAGAAACACAGCAGATGCATGCCTGTTGTCACGCAGAAACTGGCGTCCTCCATTGTTTCCCTCAGCGGTGTTGTAATCGGGGGCTGCCATTGTCTTTTTGAAGTGAAATATTGTTAATAACTTCAGAGGCTCAGCCAAAACTAGTTGATAACACCACAAAAAACCAGTTCCCTTCAAAGCTAACCACTGAATATGTGTTTGGTTTATTTTCTTAACTTTTTTGTATTGGCTATACATATAGGATAGGTAAATCACAAAAAAGAAACAAGAAAAAGTAAAGAATAAAACATGTGCATTCTTATATTTGTGACCGTTTTACATCTCACAACCAGGCGACATTCCCATCCTTTCATATTTAATAATGTATTTCTCCATGTCCCCCTCCACCCTACTTTTTACACTTTTATCCCCTTATTCCCTCTTTTTCCTCCCACTCTCCCTCCTCCCCTTACTGTTTTCTTGTCTATTTTTTTCATTTCTGTCTTTTTATATCAGTTCCGTTACTATCAGCAGCCCAGCTTTTATTATAACCTCCCATTATTGACGTGCCCTAAAGCAGATGTTGTTAAAAGACACAAGCCACCCCCCCCCAATTCACCCCCTCTCTGTTTCCCCTCAGCTGGGAGAAGCGAGTGGACCAGCGGGGAAGGTTACTACTATGTGGACCTACAACACCAGAACCACCACATGGCAGAGGCCCACAGCGGAGTCTGTGCGCAGCTACCAGCAGGTGGCAGAGCCAGCGCAGGCCAGCTGCAGGGCGGCCATGCACCAGTTCAGCCAGCGCTTCCTCTACCAGGTACATGTGGAGCACATTAAAAAGAGGTGCAGGAATGAGTCCTACAACCCGGAAATGAGTTAGCATTTTTACCGCTTGCAGTTCCCTAGTCTTGAAATATTTTTGATGTTTTTTTGACGTTAGATGCTTGAAATAAGATCTGGGGTCAAGCTAAAGAGATTCTCAAAATGTGTTCTACGACATATAATGTTTTCAGTAAATACCCCACTAGTGAACGTCTGAAGCTTCTTTGTGTCATTGAAACGGAGGTTGCTATCCAGTGGCTAAATGAGACGACAGAACTCGAACATTAGCTCCAACATTAGGTCCTTTAGCTTAGCTGTGCTAACGTGAATTTTTGTGACCATGATGCAGTCTGCTTATGGCACAACGTTGTGATTTTGGCAATTGCATTTACGCTTCAAAATCACAAAGTGGTGTTAATATATGGAGATTATCCTGCTAAACAAAACGTGTAGGTATCATAACGATTATTAGCCACAGATCTAATTTCCTGCTTTATTCTGAAAACCAATAATGGGACCTCACTAAGTCAAGATGAACAAAGGATTAGTGCTTTCCTATGAAATATGCTTGTCCCCCAATAGGTCAGCAATATGCATCTTTATCAATGGATCAACCAAAAGGGCTCATTAAACAAAATACAAACAGCTTGACTGAAAATAATGGTGTGTTTACCAGAAATGTGTATGTAAATGGCCAACAGTCTGACGTACATCTTTGTAAAAGGGTTTTGCCCTTTAGTTCATTGATGTTAGTGGCATCAGAAATAATTATTTATACTGGGAATAAAGTCTCCTGGGATTTTTTTGCTGCTGTCTTTATCATTTAAAGAGGCCATATTCTGCTTTTTGGGGTTTTCCCTTTTGTGTGTTGTATAGGTTTTTGTGCACTCTGTGCCCCTGCCTGCAACACCTCCATTGGATTCCTCCGTTTACTTCTGGAACATAATGACATCACTATTACCTCATTCACACCAACGCAACTCCGGTTCAAGCTCCGTGCTAGAGCTTTTCAGGTTCAGAACCGGTTCTTCGGTTTAGCTCCGGCTCTTTTCACACCGCCCAGAGTCCGACTGGTGCTGCGTCATTGCGTCATCGTTTGCGTCATGACGTAACCGTTTGCGTGCCTGCTTCATAAAGCCAAACCGTGCGGAAACCCCTCACAGCTCACACCGACAACAACAACAATGGCCGATTGTGTTGAAGCGCTACTCGTTTTGGTTTTGCTCTGTCGAAACGAAATGGAAGACCAGTAGGTAGCTGGTCTCTTCAGTGGACCACTGCTGCTTGTTAAGTTTCTCCATCGTTGTGTACAAACTGGATTAAACGCGGGCTTTTTGTTGTTCAGGAGTTGATCCCGCCCCTGCCCCCGCCTCCACGTAAGCGTGACGTATGCGGTGCTTTTGCTGTAGCCGGACAATTTTTTGGTGCTTGAAACTAACCGGATTCCGGAGCTAAGAGGCTGCTCTGCTGCGGTGTGAACAGGAACACCCGGTGCTTTTCAAGCTCCAGCTCCGAACCGGCCCTGAAACACCGTTGGTGTGAATGAGGTATATGTAACACCTGCACTCCTATTGGCTAGAGCTCCAACACATTGTATTTGATAGGCTAAAGGGCTAGACATCTCCAAGCAGTTGGCATCCTCTTAGATTATGTTAATTAATCATAGCCCACACTTATATAGCATTTTCAATGATGGTATGTGTTGGGGAATAATTCTCCTAGATATCCACCTTTTGCCCTTTGACGTTTAATTCTCCTAGATATCCACCTTTTGCCCTTTAACGTTTAATTCTCCTAGATATCCACCTTTTGCCCTTTGACGTTTATGACCAACCCTGACATCTGTTATCTCCCTTAAGGAAGGGGCTGCTTCAGCCATATGTTGTTGTTACCAGTTTATGACCGGGCAACTCTCGGTCACAAATGGTTTATTGTTGTGGGTACACTGGAACACTTCCTACTTGGGGTTTGTGGACTCCAAGGTGTGAAATCTTCGAGGCCATAAGCGTCAGACGCAAGGTTTTCCCCACAGTATGCATAAAAAACACCTACACAATACAGACAAGAGAAGCAAGAGGGAAGATGTTTTAGATAGTCTTCTTTTGAGGTCCTTTGATATTTAAACGGCCTCAGTTTAGACGTAATTCTGTCCTTCTGCATACCGCATCATTTATGAGAATACATGTCATAAACATTAACACAACATATTCGAGGTGGTTTAAATAACATATCCGTATTTATTTATTTCTCCAAGTTATGTTTTTGTGTGCACTGAGGAGTCTCAAACAGGCGTTTGTTTAATCATTTTAAGATTGGCTTTAATCAATGTTTGAAAATGAATTCTTCATATTTGATAAATGAGAGGTAACATTTTATTTATTTCCACATATTTCTCTGCATTCTTCCTTCTGCCAACGGTGTCGCAGTTTCTCGTCTCTCCCGTTTGTGTGCTTAGTGCGTACGCATGGGTTAGAGTTTGCGTGGAGGACCGCACATTTTCCCGTCAAGTTAGTATTTTATAAATCGCAAACATTGCGTAGAAACTGGCGTACGCCATTTTTTGAGCGTATATCCCTTTATAAATGAGGCCCCTGGTGCTGTTGCTGCTGACTTTTACTGGTTTATTGTCCACTGGCCTTTACAGTAGCTCTTGGCAGGTGATCATTTTGGACCCTGGTAATAAGAATAAAAAGTAAATAAGATCTCTGTTAATGCTGCCCTTAAGAATGGAAAGTTAACTCACATATTCCTGTAAGACTCAAATTAGATGAACGCATTAGTAACAGTCAGATGTCATTTCCTCTGGTTTAGGGCTGGGTATGAAACTTTAACTAGAGAATGCAATTCCTGAAGAAATTGCTAGTGGGAATGCTTTATGCTGAAAAGCTGATGCTAAACTGCTATGCTGAAATGTAATGTGTAAGAAGAAAGTGAAGAATTTAGATTGAAATGATACATGAACACTGGGGATTTGAATGTGTGATGAGAGAAGAAAAGAAAGTAAAAAGGCTTGGAAAAGCAGCAGAATATTTTAACTGCAAACTTTTGAACTAACTTGATGGTGAATGATCTGTCGCCATGGCAACGGCATTTGATGACGCCCCATAATACGCTTAGATGCGTTGATGGCTGCATCGTTACCAAACCTGTGAAGTTTTGGGCCGTTTGGAACATTTTCACTGAAGTTATGAGAAAAGTGTGTTTCATGGCGAGCATTGTGTTGCCATGGCAACAGCATTTGAAGAAAAACTAAAGGTGTGCGGCTGTGAGGAAATATCAGCCTGAAATTACAATGGGTTGTAATGGAGACATGTTGAACGTTTTTGTCACTTCATGCCCTCAAGAGGCATTTTGTTGAATTATTTTGCTTAATTATTTGTCATTTTTCAAGCTACGAGATGTTTTCCTACGTTTATCATGAAAAATTATGTCTCAGGAATGTAGGGTTCGGGAATTATGGCAGTTTTAAAAAAAATATATGAAGGTAAATTTCAAGATTTGCTACCCTCTAGCTGTGACATCACGCACTCTAGTTAATGTTAAAATCTGAAGAAAACCTCTTTAACAAGGTCTGAACAATGTTTAATATCTCTAAAAGTAAGAATCAGATTTAAAAGTTGTGTTACACGAATAATGTCAGAAACATAACATGTAACATTTTAAAGTTGGAATGAGGTTTCTGAGTGAAAGTATGAATGAACAGTTAGCAGTTGAAGTCGCATGAAGATTGTTCAAGTCTGAAGATTTTCTCCATTGACTTCAATGGTTAAAAATGGGATGTATTATGGGATGTATCTCTGGAATTATGAAAGTTATGAATGATAAAAGTAATAGCCATCGATTCCCGACCGAGCTGAACGTTTTGATGTTTGAACCGAGTTTCTGCGATGTTGAATGCAAGAGAAGAGGTGCAAAATTATAGCGGAATAATAATAATTTTGTCCGTAGAATAACATTTAGTGGGAATGCTGTATCAGCATTCCCACTAAATAAAGTTGGAGTACTGAACCAAATGTGTTCACAGCACTTAGTCTGTAAAGTATCAAAGCTGACATTAGATTCTTACTCCTGTTTCTTTATTGTGGGATCAGATTTTTTTTATTTGAGTCAAAGCTTTGCTAATTTTAAACAATCTAAACGACATTTGCTCGTGTTAAGACACACTTAAAGGCTGAAACATGTAGCTTTTTGTTTCAGATTGCACTTCTTTCCACCTTTTTTTTTTTTTAAATGTTGGCAATGCTTAGGAAAAGGTTCTTAAAGAGCTGCTTTAATGTTCAAAAAGCTTTTTATTTGTTCTCATACTGCAGCACCTCTTTTCACCCTCTGTCTGAAACCAGAGCCCAGTCTGCTCTGTTGTGATTAGTCAACCGCTTGTCATGAACAATGTGTTGAAGCACTAGCCAATAGAAGCGCAGGTGTTACATAGTGATGTCATTATGTTATGGAAGTAAACGAAGGAGTCCAATCGAGGCGTTTCAGGCCGGGGAGGAGGGGAGAGTGTGTGGGGAGAACACAGGGATTTTAGCCTTTGCAGACCATTTACATGCACAAAAACCTATAGAACACACTAGAGGAAAGGGAACACCACAAAAAGCAGAGCAGGGTGTCTTTAATGCAGGTGGGTACGTTCAGGTTACTTGGAAGTGTCACGATAAACTGAGGTTAAATGTCAGAAAGGTGACACTGCACACGCTCTCTCCACGTTGGGATAGAAAAATATAAGTTGGGGGTAGGATGGAAACTTTTCCTCCTCTGTACTTGTTTCCTCCCTCCCTCCCTGAGTGTGTGTGAGAAAAGCCAATAGGCAGCTCTGCCCTCCATGTTGATAGTGCACTGCTCTGTCTTGGAATGCCCACACTGCTGATAGCAGCTACTATTTATGGCCCCAGTGTGTGTGAACAAGGAAACACACACAAAAGAGCTCATAGTTTCACTGTGAGCTCATCCACATGTTCTACTGCCCCACTGACAGGCTCACATGAACTATAGAAA